GTCGCGGCCCCGCGCGGGCCTCGCGGGGGTGGTCGGGAGGGACGAGTAAGATCGGTTCTGTTTCGCAGACATCCTGGATAACAGCAAGGTCGTCAGCGAGGAGTGTCGCGGAGAGGTGGGTCCCCCTCTGCTCCCCCCGGCTCCCCCCTGTTACCCAGAGGCTTCCCGGTTTAGATCCGGAGATCGCTGGGACGCAGACCTAACAAGCGGATCCTGTTTAAAGTTGGCGTCATGTTCAGATCCGTGTAGTGTTCATTTATTGGACTGTTTCTCTCCTGCCTTCCTTCCTGCCTTCCTTTCTCTCTCCCTCTCTCTCCCTCCCTCCCTCCCTTCCCTGGAAATTGAACTCAGAGCCTTTGCACTGAGCTACATTCCCAGCCCTTTTTTATTTAGTTTGTACAAGGTCTTGCTAAGTCGCTAAAATGCTCAAACTTGAGAGCCTCCTGCCTCAGCCTCCCAGACTGCTGAGATGACAGGTATGCACCACCGCACTTGGCTGTGGTCTTTTTCTTTTCTTTTTTAAAGCAAGGTTTAATCCCCAGTACTGCAAAAAATAAAAGGAAGAAAGAAAAAAGCACGAGTTTGATGTGCTCCTTTTCTCTAACATACACCGTGGAAATGAATCCAGCGCTACTCAGGAGCGTCCCCTCCCAACGAGAGCGGCGGAGCTGATGGAACCTAGAGAGCCCAGCCCGGCCCTCGCGACCGCCAGCAGAGGGCGCTTGGATCGCTGACCGCCCGGTCTGGCCAGGGCCATGAGGCGCGCGCACACGCGCACACGCGCACACGCGCACACAACCCCGGTTTTACCAGACTGGAAAGAATTAAAAAAGGAGAGACTTGGGACTTTGGCTCAACCCCAAACGACGGCTTAAGGAGGCATGCTCTTGCCTGCGGTTTCCATGTCTTAGGTTTTGTTTTCTTCATGGAACTGAGGATTGAACCCAGGGACAGTATCACCAGCCCTTTATATTTGTATTTTGCCTTGCTGGGCCTTGAACCCAGGGCCGTGAGCGTGCTAAGGAAGCCCAGTGCCACCGAGCTCCACCCACAGCCTGTATTTTATGTGTGACCTCACCGTGCTGCCCAAGCTGGCCTCCACCCTGTGATCCTCCTCAGCCCCCCTAGTTGCTGGGATCGCAGACCTGGGCCACCGCGCCCAGGTGGTCTCCTCAGGCTCATGGCTTTTCTCCTGTGTGGCTGTCGCAGCTCACCGCGCTCTTCGACTACTATTACCCCATCGAGACAGACCCGCAGCGGCCCACGGAGGAGAAGCTGCCGCACATGGTGGAGTGGTGAGCGGTCTTCAGGGCGGGGCGGGGGAGGAGGGAGTGGGGCCAGCGCCTTGCAGAGGGTGGGGAACGCGTGGGTGGACGTGGGTCGGGACCACTTGTACTTCGTTCTGCTGTCTCCCTGGCCACCTGCTGCCCTGGGGAAGGCGGCAGAAAGGAGGGGCTGCGTCCTCCCCGGCCGGAAGGCAGAGTGCGGGAGAGACAGGCAGCGAGCAGAGGGCCTGGCTTTGTCCTTCGTAAGGGACCCAACTGGGAGAATGGCCCGGCTGGGAGGACAGGGCCTGGCCTGGGCACCCAGTGCGGACTCCTGGCCCTGGTCTCCCTCTTGTTGCTTTCTGACCGCCCCTGGCTGCTGTTGCTGGTACTGGAGACTAAACCCAGGGCCTTTGCACTGAGCTCCATCCCCAGCCCTTTCGTTATTTTTAGTTTCTAGAGGGGGTCTCAGTGTATCACTAAGTTGTTCAAGCTTGGCTCAAACTTGAGATCGTCCTGCTTCTGCCTCCCTGAGTGCCAAGGTCGCGGTGTGCACCACCATGCCTGACGCTCTTCCCTCTAAAGATGGCCAGAGTCCTTCAGGGAAGGCCGAGGGCCCCAGCAGTGCTTTCCCAGGGGGCTGGCTGTTAAGGGCGGGCAGAGCTCGTGGCCTCTGCGGTGCTGAACGTGGGGCCGGGGTCCCCACCCAGGTGGACCAGGGCACACGAGCTGCTGTGTACGCAGCGGATTCCGCAGCTGCAGATCGCCGAGGTGGTCCGGGAGTCGGGTGCCATGCTCAGGTGAGCACCGCAGGAACCACCTGGGGCGCAGAGAGTGCTGTGCTCTGTCCCACACCCTGGCTCAGATTGCTGGACTCACACAGAGGAGGCCAGGAGGAGCCACGCTGAGGCCCAGGGTAGAGTCCGGCCAGGCTGCGGAGCTGCCTGGTATTCGCTCAGTTTTCACAGGCCTTTGGAGGTCCCCCTCCCGGGTGGCAGATGGGACTGGTGCGTGCGTGTGCGTGTGTGTGTGTGTGTGTGTGTGTGTGTGTATGTGTATGTGTGGTGCTGGGGATCGAACCCAGAATCACTCTGCTACTGAGCTACAGCCCTAGTCCTTTTGTTATTTTATATTTTGAGTCAGAGTGGCCAAGTTGGGAAGTTTCCCAGGCTAACCTCAAACTTGTGATCCTCCTGTCTCAGCCTCCTGAATTGCTGGGCTATACCATACTGGTCCTGGCTGTTCTTCTGGCTTAGCCATGTCCCTAGGTCATGGTCACTGCCACCTTCCTCTTTTTTCTTGAATTTTTTATTTTCTTTTTGTGGCAGGGTCTTGCTTTGTATTTCAGACTGGCCTTGAACTCACTTTGTAGCCCAGGCTGGCCTGGTACTTGCAGTGATCCTCCTGCCTCAGCCTCCTGAGTACTAGGAGTGCAGGTGTGCACCATCACCCCAGTGTAGCTACCTTTCCTGAGCAGGGCTCTCTGCTGGAGACTGTTTCCAGACAGAGTCTCACTGTAGCTCAAGGTGCTCTTGAACTCCTGGCAATCCTCCTGCTTCAGCCTCCCCAGTGCTGGCCTTATAGGCATGTACCACCATGCCTGGCTGGGAGCCTTCTTTCCTGGAGGAGGGACTAGGCTCACAGGCAGCATGGGCTGGGCACCTGCACTCAAGGGTTGTCTGTCCCCATGGGGAGAGAGGATCGCCCCAAATAGTTGCAGAATAGATGGGGGTGCAGACACGGGAAGTGCCAGCAAGGGTGCGGGGTGGTGCGGCGAAGGAGCCCCAGGGATGCTGCCTGGTGGCAGAAATGGTGGTGGAAGGTGTTTGCCAGCCTCAGCTGCCCTCTCCCAGGGGAAAGCCCAAGTGCTGTGAGTGTTGTTGGTACCTGGAGATGGCGAGATCAGAGGCTCTGGTGTCTGGGCGGGAGAGCTGCGTGGTGGACTGCACCTGCGGTAGGGTGGAACCTCCTCCAGGGACAGTAGCAGTGGCAGCAATGGATGGCCGGCCGGGCGTGGTGGGGCACCCCTGTATTCCCAGAGCTCAGGAGGCTGAGGCAGGAGGATCGCTGTGTGTTCGAGGCCAGTCTGGGTACACAGTGAGACCCTACCTCAAAACAGAGACAGAGAAGGGGGTGGGGATTTGGCTTAGTGGTTCTGCCACCTGCCTCACAAGCGCAAGGACGCGCAAGCACAAGGACCTGAGTTTGATCCCCGGTACCAGAGGAAAAAAAAAAAGACAGAGAGAGCGAGAGACCATGCAAGGCAGTGATGTTCAGAGCCCTTGTCCTGCAGGGAAGGCTACCAGGACTTCTTTGACACCCTGCATCGCCACGGCGTCCCACTGTTCATCTTCTCCGCGGGCGTCGGTGACATCCTGGAGGAGGTGATCCGGCAGAGGGGCGTGCTGCACCCCAACATCCACATTGTGTCCAACTACATGGACTTCGGAGATGACGTGAGCCCCTGCCCTTGGGCAGGCAGGGTGGGACCCGCAAGGCACTGGTGGCTGTGCCCTTGGTGGCGGTGACAGTCTCTTCAGAGGCCTTCCCATGGGGCCCTGGTGTGTGGGGCCCAAGAGCAGACCGTTGCTGCTGTGTGCAAACCAGTGCGCCTATGACCCCAGACACTCAGGAGGCTGAGGCAGGAGGATTGTAAGTTCAAGGCCAGGCTGGGCAATTAAGCAAGACACTGTCTCAGAATAAAAACTAAAAAGTGCTGGATGTGGCTCAGCAGCAGAGCTCTTGTCTAGCAAGTGGGATGCCCTGGGTTCAATCCAGGCCTGCGGGGTAATACTGACTTCATTTAGAAAAACAGCCCAAATCCGGCTTGGTCTCCCCACAGTCCTGGGGAGGCCTGAGCCTCTAGGTCCTTTCCCTCATGGCGGACAGGGCAGCTGGTACCTCAGGGCCCCAAGCCCTGCGCTGTCCTGGTTTGGTCACAGGGGCTCCTGCAGGGGTTCAAGGCCCCCCTCATTCACATCTTCAACAAGAACAGCCCCGCCAGCGGCAGCACCAGTTACTTCCGGCAGCTCCGGGGCAGAACCAACATCCTGCTGCTTGGGGACTCGCTGGGGGACCTCAGCATGGCAGACGGGGTTCCCGGGGTGCAGAACATCCTCAAGATCGGCTTCCTCAATGACAGGGTGGGTGGGCCAGGCCCTCCCGCTTCCCATGAGCAGAGCGAGTGCTGGGGGCACCAGAGCTGGCCTTGTGCCTGGGGGTGAGGGGGTGGCCCCACTGGCACAGCGTGTGGTCCCAGTAGCCCTGCGGGTAGCAGACAGGGCCAGGGTGACGCCTGGGGTGTTTGTAACCCCTGCTGCTGTCCTTTCGGCCCCAGCCAAGGGTCCCGAGGGCAGACCCTGTGGCCTCGGGCTCCGTGGGCACTAGGTGGCAGTCAGGTAGCCTGCCATCCCCCGGCCTTGCCCCCAGGTGGAGGAGCAGCGCGAGCTCTACCTGGACTCCTACGACGTCGTACTGGAGCGCGACGAGACGCTGGACGTGGTCAACGGGCTGCTGCGGCACATCCTGTGCGCGGGGGACGGCGGGGACGCCCAGGGCCCCTGAGAGCGCGCAGGGGCTCCTCCTCCCCGCCTCCATCCTCATCCCGGGACCCGGGCACCGGCTCTTTACAAAAAGTTTTTTAAACATGGAAAGCTGTATTTCAGACAAATACAATGGGTAAAAGAGATGCAAATTTAAAAAATGAAAAGACGGAGCTGCTCTTGATTTATTTGTTTATTAAAGTAGAAAAATTTGAGAAAGGGAACTCCTGAGACAGGAGGGGACCCGAAAGCGGTTGCCAAGGAGCCCACTTCTCTGAGGAAAAACATTTTGTAACGTCGGGAGTCAAACTCAGGACCTTGTGCTTTTGAGGCAGGCGCAGCGTCACTGAGCTAAATCTCCAGCCTGAGGGTTGTGATTTTGAGAACAGCCTGGGCTACATAGCAAGACCCTCTCTCAAAAAAACAAAAAGAGGGCCAGGGATTTAGCTTAGTGGTTCTGCCGCCTGCCTCACATGGGCAAGGACTGAGTTGGATCTCCGGTACCAAAAAAAAAAAGTAACCCCAAAACCAAAAAGATTGTAGGTGTGTTTACTTTCTATCGCTGTAAAAGACGACTTGAAACAATGAATTTCAGCAGTTCTATCCTTGGCTGAGGCCGGTCCCCCCATGGCAGCTGGGTGGGAGGGAGAGGGGGGACCAGGCCCTGCAATTCGTTGTGCCACACACCAGGGACCATGCCTCACCGCCCTCAGGATGGGATATTCAGCTGGGACTGGGCTCACGGGCAGTTCGGTGCTCGGTACTGGCCTGGCTCATCCTCAGGAGACCTGATCCTGTCCCTGGTGGTGGTGGTGAGTGCAGGCAGGCAACAGGGCAAGTGGCCTGATCCCCAGGACCCTGGAGATCTGAACCCAGGACTCTGTCCTCCAACAAAGGAAGAGGAGCTGGCAACGGCTGGTGGGCAGGAAGGCGTGTGTGTGTGGGGTCACAGCCCAGGCTGTGTGACCCCTGCGTGGCTCCTTTAGTCCTTGAGCCTCCTTGTGTGAAGGAGGCCATGGCATCGCCTGGTTTGTCTCATCTTTCTGTCCCAATCTTTGGGTCACAAGTCCTCTCCCCAAGCTGGGCCTATGGCTCATGCCTCTAATCCCAGCACTCTGGGAGGCCGAGGCAGGAGAATCTTAAGTTTGAGCCCAGTTTGGGCAACTTAGTAAAACCCTGTCTCAAAATACAAGCTTAAAAAAGGACTGGGGATGCAGCGCAGACCAGAGGCCCTGGGTTTGATTCCCAGGACTCCCCGCCCTTGCTTCCCAAAGACCACCTCCTGAGAGCTGGGGTTTCTCCTTTTATTTGACACAGGGGGAGGGGAGTGGGCACGGTTCGCCTTTGCGTGTGCAGAGCTCCACGTGGAGATTTCTCTCTGCGGCCGGGGCCTCTGCAAAGGCTTCCTCTGCCCTCAGCACCTTTCTGGATTTCTGGAGACGGGAGACTCGCTGAGGGGGAAGCACCAGGGGTGCGGACCCCAGCCTGACCTGGGGCCCAGAGGGCGGGGAGCCAGGCGTGGGTGGAGCCCAGCAGCCCTTCCCCAGGAGACCGGGCCTGGGTGCCG